TTTTTTTTTTTTTTTAGTGAGACCTTTTTAATTCTCCTCAAGTCACAGCTTGGGTTTGGGCTGATTTGGCATGTCACCTGTTCATCTGTTTTCAGGATGTCTGAGAAGACATACGACACATTGCGTCTGTGGGTGATCCTGCTTCTGTGTGTGCTGAGACTAGCCATGATGCGGCATCACCTCCAGGCCTACCTTAACCTGGCCCAGAAGGGCGTCTTGCGGATGAAGAAGGAAGCGGGACGCATTAGTACAGTGGACCTCCAAAAGATGGTGCGTAGACTTTTATCACTTTTTTGTTCTTACAGATGTGTCATCACATTAATATGCAAGTTATTGCGATGCAAAGCCATCTTCTTAATGCCTGATATCCCATCTATCCCAAGTGTCCCATCTTTATAGGTTGTTCTTGTGATGTTTGATCTGATACTGGTTAATAAATGCACTCAGGGACCCTCTTGTGGCGTCTACTCTTGGGGCCTGCATTACAGTGTTGACATTCCTCAAAGGTGGAAATATGTCGGTATGAAAAAGGACTGCGTGGCATTGTTGCCCTCAAAGCTTTAAAATGAGGAGGCTATTTGAGTTTAGTGGAGCGCAAGGATCAAAACCCATAGCACTCCACAGCTGGAGCTGAGGAAAAGAGCCCGTTTGATGTTCCAAGCCATAAGTGAGACTCGCAAATGGCTGTAGAGTCGCAGGGGTGTCTGGTCTTACATCTGCTCCAGAATCATATGCTTGCAGCCTCCCTCTCTACTTAAGCTCCCAGTGATGGTTTCAGCGAGTCTGTTTGATGAGCTGCTCTCCTGCCAAGATGCTTGTTTTGAACGAAATTTGCCTAAATGTTTTAACTGCAAATTTGTTTTTCCTCAGGTCGCCCGAGTCTTTTACTACCTGTGTGTAATAGCTCTTCAGTACGTTGCACCTCTGGTGATGCTGTTGCACACTACTTTGCTGCTAAAGACATTAGGTGAGTGCATTAAGGTTCTTCTCGACACATTCTCAATTGCCCCGGTAGGGTTTCTTGAATTTTTCAGACTCTTGTTTTAACCCCCAGGTGGATACTCGTGGGTGATTTACCCCGAAGAGAATTTGCCGTGTCTGTCGAATGAGGACTCGAGCCCCGTCGAGGTGGGGCAAGGCGAGATGCAGGCTTCTCAAACTGTGGCCCAGCTGTCGGTGGCTCTCGGGGGACTGAGGACTGTTTTCTCCCCCTTGCTTTTTCGAGGGCTCCTGTCCTTCTTCACTTGGTGGATTGCCGCATGCCTGTTCTCCACCTCTCTCTTCGGCCTCTTCTACCACCAGTATCTGATGGCTGCATAGCATCGTGAATGGCTCGTCCGACTGAACTGTGCGACACAAGGCCCTGGAACATTCCCCTTTTTCTGCAATCATATCAGCTGGGTTCTTCTCTGAGCGGCTTCCTCCGTGGACACGTTATTTTAACCTAGCAGATACATAGCCTACAGTAACAATTCAATCATTGTAACTTTCATGAGCATCAACGGACGGAGGATGGCGTCTGAAGGAGACCTCAAAATAATGCTGATTTTAAAGGGGATGGCGTCTTTGAACCACCAGAAGGTTGAAAGCGAGGGATCACTCATGGTCATTGACATTCTGTTTTTTTTTTTTTAGATTTTAAATTT